CTCTCATTGAGCTCTCTAAAAGAAAAGTCAGACAATCATGGATTTATTTTCCAATCGAGCATTGAGGCAAGCAAGCTGCTGAGTGTCGTTTTTTTCTCTTTGCACAAGACAAATGGATGCAAAGGCCATCGACTAATGCGAGTCATCAACATGACACACAGTATATCGGAAGAAACATGACACTCAAAGGAAAGTCAAAACTTTTGACACAAATGTTATAAGAAATTCGGCATGAGACGATGTATGATTTTATAACTGATCAGGATGAACATAAATATCTTTCACATGTGTGTCTTGTAAAAGCTGTGTTGTTGGCTTTCATAACAGAGAAACTAAAAAGAGGCTTATTTAAAAAAAAAATACAGGATTCTCATGTAAGAAAGAACAAACTCACACAATGGTTTTTTTTCCTGCATGGGGAGCATACATGTAGGAAATATGACTTTTGGAATGTTTGTTTTTCACACAAAAAAGATGTCTGTCCTATCTGGGATGCAATCAAATATTGGTTTGTTAAAACATGTAAGGTAAAGTGATTCCAGTACATTAAAGTGCCATTTATCCATATGTTGATGATTATTGGGATACTTTTACATTACTATTATTTGGCCAGAATAATCCTGACATAACATTTTGATATCTTCCTATAAGATCATTCACATTTATTATTATTGGTTCTCAGACAAACGCCATGTATGACCTTTATACTTCATCTACAGTATGTTCCAGTGTCAACAGATGTTGTGACAAAAGCAGCTCTGCTTGACTAGTTTTTTGGGGGGGTTTGGGTATTTGTTTGGTTTGCATTCCTCTTGAAAATGATTGCACAGCCAGGAGTTCTTATTTAAGTGGGGTGCAATAACTAATCGACTTAATCGATTAAAATCGATTGCCAAATTAGTTGGCAACTAATTCAGTCATCGATTCGTTGGTGACGTCATCACATGTGTTCTACACCCCGTTAAGCTTTTTTATCGGTAGGCTACAGGAGACATTTAAAACATATGTCATATGTATTATTGCTACATAAACATTATATCGCAGTCTTAGTGTCGCTAACTCCGTTTCTAATATGCAATATGACTACAAAATGCGTCTATAATGTATTTTCGATCTTCCCAATTCAGACGAGAGATCTCTCCCCCGCCTGCTTGCGAGGGGGCGGGGAGGTTTACACACACTGCTACATGCATGCAACACACACACACACACACACACACACACACACACACACACACACACACACACANAAAAAATATAATGTTTCTTTAACATCTCCTGATTTTCAGTTATTGAACAATGTTTCCATAATGTGTCAGCATAATTATGCGTCCTTCACTTTTTCATCATAACTGCCGCTGCCCTTGTAGGCCCCCACGATGATGAAAAAGTGAAGGACGCATAATTATGCTGACACATTATGGAAACATTGTTCAATAACTGAAAATCAGGAGATGTTAAAGAAACATTATATTTTTTAAGAAGGGAACAAATATACTGTAGTTTTTTGGGCCTTTTGCAATTATAATACTTATTGGGTCCGTAAAAACACAACTATATATAATTGGAGTTTCAAGGTTTTCACAAGTGACAACCAGGATGAATAACTTAAAGACATGATTTCCTGAAAATAATTTGAAGATATTCAAAATACTATGCCGTAAGTACACACATGTTTAATGAGATGAAGCATGAATATGTGATAGTGTTCTGTACACGATGATACTACAGGGATCAAAAGATAAAACTGTACTTCTAATCAAGCATGCTTTATAGAAACTTCGTGCCTTAGTATTGATGTAGCCGCTAGCATGAATGCTTTGCTATACAGCAATGTGCTGCTATTCCCACTTAGCTTGATGTAATGGACGTAACCTTTGCTGGTTTCAAGAAACCACACTTGCTAAGCTTATCACGTAGCTACAGGAACAAAACACTCCCAAATATTCATGGTATATATTCATATATTTAAATGACAACTACATTAACAAGAGAAACATGTAATCATACTGAGCTGATGAAGCTACGGTACAGGATACATCATGTTTAATCCATTTATGTTTTACTTAGTGACAACATTATGCTGTGATTGTTGATGCTCATATAACGTATCTTTTCATGCAATTTTATTTTCCTCCAAGGTCATGTAAGGTTGAAAGATGTGTAATAATAGAAGTGAATGTGAGAATCTTAAGAGTCATACATTGTAAGAGTATACATTTTATGAATCATCTCAAACCACATTTAAGATCCTGGAGCTTTTACAGTGTACACTGGTTTTTAAGCAAGTGTACAATTTAAACTGTGTGCTATTATACATATTTTACATACCTCTGCCATACATGACATTCATATACTGTAGACGTATCAAAGTGAATTATTATTATTTTTTTTAACAATCTTTGTGAGCTTACACAATACACTTAAGCAAACGGAAAACAACAGGAGTGGATTAACACATTTTTTTTGTAAATATTATCAGTGACTAACCCTGACTTAAAGCTTGTCGGCTGATTTCAAAAGATAACTGGGATACCATTTCACAACACAATGGGCCCTTGTAGAACAACAAACACTCAATATTCACTTTTCTTCTGGGCCCACCTTGTCATATCATACTGATGGCATTTATGAAGGATCCTGAGAAACCATTTTAATGCTCTTGTATGATGCACATGTTTTTAAAAAATGGCTTACCTCCTCCATGTCTCACACAATAGGCCTTAGCTGTTAAGTATCACCTGGGTTTTGTGCCATTGAACACCATTATAAACTATATTCTCTGCATTTCCATGCTCAACTCATGCACTCTCACTGCATATAATCACTGTGATCTTAATACATAATGAAGAAATAATCCAATAAAGAATGGAATATAGTAGAACATTTGTGGAGCAATCACTTGTGTTTTTTCATGTAAACATAAATTATCACCTTATAAAGTTGATATGGTAAAATTACTTGTTGCACATCCAGCATATTTTAATTACAAATATTAAGCATATGGAGTTGTGTTTATCTCCTACTGTATGACCCAAAGGGCATATTTTGCTTTCAATCCCAAACAGCTTCTTCCCAGTCCTGCCATGATTGACAGAAAGATGTACCATACACACATGATTGGAAACACTGGTGTTAACTTAACTAAACAGGGGCCTTCTTTGATCCGGTGCCATCAGTTTCCAATAGCTGCAGAAGGATAATGCAACAGGCTTATCATAGCCATCAAACTAAATGATCCTATTCGCCAACACCTTTGACCTTATAACTATATACACAGGCTCTCTAAATACAATCTTTAGACGACTTTGATACACACTGGGGAGCTTATCAGGATGGTCCTGCAGCACAGGGCTGAAAGTGGGTATGGGAGAGGAAGAAAACCAGTGCGATGTCAGTTTACTAGACTCAGAGATGTCCCCACCCACTTGGAAATACAAAAGACGAGCACCATCCTTTACAAGCTGTCATTGTTATTACATTACATTTCATTGCATTTAGCTGACGCTTTTATCCAAAGCAACTTAAGTACAATCGACCAGGAAGATACAACCTTGAAGAAAACAGAATCATATACAGTAAGTCCATCAGGTTTCATAGAGCCAAACATTTCAAGTGCTACTCAACTGGCTATAGATAAGACAGTCCTTTATTAGTATATAAGTGCTTTGTTAGTAATTATATCGCTCGAAGTGGAGTCAAAAGAGATGAGTTTTCAGTCTGCGCCGGAAGATGAGCAAGCTATCTGCTGTCCTGATTTCAATGTGGAGCTCATTCCACCATTTTGGAGCCAGGATAGCAAACCCACGTGTTTTTGCTGATGGGAACTTGGGTCCCCCTCGCAGTGCGGGTGCAGCGAGCTGTTTGGCCGATGCAGAGCGGAGTGCACGTNACCACACACACACACACACCACACCACACACCACACACACACACCACACACACACACAACAAACAACACACAACACACACACACACACACACACACACACACACACACACACACACACTGAGGCCTGCATATGAGGAGATTTAGTTTCTCTTTTCAGGAAAGTGACACAAACTGCTGATTGTAATTAAACACACAACATAAGCTTTTTTCTATACATAATTCAACATTGATCATGTGGTCCATCAAATGAAGGTGAAATAATTAATAGGATAGATCTATAGGTGGACTTACAAAATCTGTCCAGGAACTACAGATGAAAAATAGCCTCTTGGCTAACTCTGGCACATTTACAGAAATGTTGATTCATGTGCACTGCCCCTGGTAAATAAATGAATAAATAAATAAATAAATAGGGAATATCTGGTGCAGGCTTGATGGACTATCATAAAGTGAAAAAGAAACTCATTATAAAGAGGTCACAAAGCTGACTTCTAGTTCATTATACATCAGGACTGTAATTAAAGATCTCTGTAAATCTCCTCTCAGAGGGTCAACGAGAGGCGTCCTTGCTGATTATAGACACCAAAGGAATATTTCACTTTTATGTGGGCTCATTAGTGCTGAAATTATGAGGCAATTAACTTCAAAGAATTACAAATAATTACGCCAAACACTAGGTTCTGGCATCTAGTGCTTTTCTAGAAATAATAGTAAAAAAAATTGGCTTTGGACTGCTGCTTGAGTAATACAAGCAGTTTGAAGATATTAAAGTGTCAGGCTTGTTTACATAATTATGGTAGAGAAAACTAAACTAAAATAACAATTAGCAGATAATAGTTTGTTGCAGCCCAGGTGATACATCTGGAGGTTGATAGTATATCATGACAGCTTGTCTAGAAAGCACCAATAAATAAAGTAAAATGTTTCAAATGTTTTCTTGAATCTTGATGACATCCAGTAGGCTAGTAACCTGTGTAAATGAATAGGAATGAGTTATACTAAAGTACTCCTAAAATCTTGAACTCAACTGTGCTTATTGTGTGGGGTAACTAAAGGTTGTTTTGCTCCCCCATGCAAATACACACAGTAGCAGCAGTGTGACCCTCACCTGAGCATCGCTTCTGCAGGGAGAGGATCTCCAGGTGGAGGCCGTGTAGTAAAGTGAGGTGTTCCTGTCTCAGGAACACGATGCTCCTCTCCACACTTCCTATCTGCTTTGACAGGCTGCTCTCTTCACCCATGGTCGCTTCTGCAGGGACAGAGGGAGGAAATCAGAAGGATGGGACTGATAGGTTTTTGTGTTTGCTCCAGCATCCATTTCAGCTTCAAAATACAACAATAAACTGTAAAACTGCTGAATGTCACTTTCCCACCGGGAACATTGCTTATGTCAGCCACAGAGGGGGAAGTTCTGTATTGAGGTCAAGTGGAAGCTATACATAAGGTATTAATGATCACAGAAATAGCAGAAAACATACACTAACAATCAGGATGCAGCTTAGTAGACAATGATGACGACTTATCATTAGGTCTGTAGTCGTTGCGAATATCTATCTTACCTTTTAATACGTGTTAAGTGCCAACATCGACTAAATATGGTTAGCAGCTGTTATAAGAGCGTCCTCGGATCCGGGCATGCTGGCCTCCACTGCTGCTCCAAATCCTGTGGGCTGCGGCATCCACCCAAACACATGTTATCTGAAGCCTTAACGCGCTTTTCAGCAGCATGTGACGCCGCTGCATCAGAGGACGGAGAGCCTGGAGAGCTGCGTAAAAATGCAAAACCAGCTCGCTGCATGGCACCGCGATCCTCCGGCGAAACCGCTCCCCGCTGCAACCCCGAGCAGCATCAGGAAGAGGAGGATTTGGAAACGCAAAAAGCCCACCGATAAAGTGCGCAGATCATTATTATTTTGTTAACAATGAGCACCTTTTATTCTTCGTCCTCGCCCCCAGACTGAGGCATGGAGCTGCTGTGGACGGATGCTGCGCTGGGGATGATGAAAACAAGAGACGGACCGTGGGCAGAACACGCGAGATCATCGTACGACACAGACTAAAGACAGCTGATTGGAGGAGCAGCCCCCTCCACCACCCCCCAACCCCCTCAATCAGCTGCAACCTCACCCTGAAGAGGATCAATATAAAGCAAGGGAAATCCAATGCTGTTATAAGTCATTGGAAAACAAAGGGCAGAATTTAAATACAATAAAATACAAGGTGACCTGTACATTTTGGTTCACTTACTGTAATTCAGCCGACTATAAGACTGTTGGTGTGATTTTACATTCTGGCTGTGTTGGAAAAGGGTCCTGATTTCCAAAGTAAAAGTATTATTATGAAAATGTACAAAATCTTAAAGTACTCATTGTGCACAATGATGACCCAATATAATGTACATTTAGATAATAGTACACTTCTGCATTATAGCATATTGTATAGGCTAGGTACAATATATATATATATACTATACTATATATATATACTATACATATATATATATATATATATATATATAGTAGTGGACTAAAAAGTACAACATTTGAATCTGACATGTAGTGGAGAAGAAGTATAAAGCAGCATTAATGGAAACACCAAAAAAAAAGTAATATGTCAAAAAATAACTGATGTACAATACTTAGATGTACTTAGTTACTTAACACCACTGCATTCTGGTAACAATACTTTTACAATAAGGAGTATGGTTCTCTCCACCGCTATTTAGTATTCATAAGTCTAGACTTGACCTTTTTGACTAGAGTATTGCTCATTACATAAACCTAAAAGCTGCTTCCAGATGTCAGACATATTAACTTAACTGAAAACCTTCTGCATGTGTCAATGACAGAAAAACACATTGTTGTTCTTGTGTGTATTTTTAATTTTTACATTGAACAAAAAATGTTAACATATAAACATATAAATTAGAGCTTTAATTACAAAACAATCAGCCAAAACATGAAAAAATAAAAGCTGTTATATTTACAATTCAAAGCATAATTCAGTGAAACGTGACACTTAAATGCTCTGAGTAAAGACGAGTATTTTGCTTTCACAACCTTACAGGGTCTCGACTGTTTCATTATTCAGATGTTTCAGGTCTTAGACATGAGGCACAGTGTCAATAGTCTTCACTGTTGTTATGAATTTCCTTTTTTCATACTTAACAATAGACAATATTTCACCAACCACCAGAAAGTTAAAAAGAGAAGCCAAATGAACAAGCAACGGAATAAAACTGGTATGATTTGTTGGGTGTGATAAATAATCAGATTCTGGGAGATCAATGCACATTAACTGTGTATGGCAACACAACTTAATAACTGCTGCCACTTTCTCCTAAAATGTTCTTGTGTTCACTACCCACAAATATAACACCATATAATAATCCTGCAGCCTGGGGCCAATCATAATTTAAAGTTCAGACTTCATTGCTATATTTCATCACAATTCCTAAAAAGCACAACATCGTGTATAATTCCAATTCCAATACAACTTTAAAATATTCACAAATATGAGCTCAGTTGTGAGAAGGAACTTCAAATGTCAACAGGTGTCTTCACTACAAACAAAAAGTAAAGCTGCCTGAAGCGTTGAAAAATAATAAAAGAAAACAAAATTACAAATCCACATTCAGAATATCATTTCAAAAGGCAGTTACTTTTGATCCTAATATCAATCGGGACAACAATAATCAAAATGTAACTGTCTCCCTCCGAATCAGTGCCGTTTCTTTAGTGAATTTAAGTCTTAATGTTAACGTTGACAAAGATTTAAAGACTGTGTTTGTCATTTTGTGAGCTATATTGACAACATGTTTCTCACCATGATCCACGACTCACGCAATCATGTCAGTTTCACTATAATCAAAACATTCAATAACTTCTTTCGAGTAAAAATAAATTAAACAAATACCCCCAAAACAATGATTTCACACAGAAAACCACAAAGCAAAACATAAATGGCTGCAGATTTTTTCATGCGTAGTGTCACATGAGCACTGGGATGCTGTGAATAGTGGTTAGAGCAGCCGTGTGTGAGGTTTGCTGTAATCACAGATCTCAAGACCAGGATTGATTTCTGTATTTCTTCAGGCATATAAAAGAGGCAGGAGGCCCACGTCTACAAAGACGTTACAAAACAAAGACGCCTCTGATGTTCTTGAGAGGGGATGTGGAGGAGTGTGCTGCCCCCTAAAGGCCAAATGAAGAAAAACATCTCCGCCTGTCTGAAAACTACGGCAAACTCACTTCACCACGAACGTCATATATTAATAACATTACAAATATTTGTGTCAGTATCTTGGAGCAATTCTTATGCTCATTCAGCTTGTACTGTTTCCATTTCACAGGTTTCAAGGAGTGAAAAATACAGCAGATTATTTTTTAAGAATGAGGTTTATACTGGAAATATATGTATACTATACATTTAAATCCTGCTAATCTTTCGTGCTAACTTCTTTGTCTTTCATTATGCTGCTGTAACACCAAAAACAATAAAGATTTATCTTATGTAGGACTTATTTTTTGCTGTTTGGTTCATGATTTTTTATTTACTTGTCCTATTTTAATACAATTTGGCAAAAGCATTCACAACTTTAAGTGTTTGGTTACAATATAACAAGCTGTACTGCATTTTGTGATCGATCCTGATCTGTTTTATGTAGGCCCACTTGTTACTTCAAAGTATTCACCCATACTGTTTCTATCCTGCTTTATATGCTTGCAGAGAAATATCGTTTTTATGTACAATTTTTTCTGCTTTAAAAAATAACTGAAAACTGAAAGCAAACTTGTGTAAGAATGAGCCAAATCATTGTTAAAAGCTTTCTGAGGTTGCAGGCAGTTTTCGGTAGAGGACGTGTTGGATTAAAAAAGACTTTTGCGGAGAGAGATGTGAAAAAACCCACAACAGTATCATATAATGTATAAATAAAATGTTATTGTTAAGATATTTTCTATGGAAATATAAAGGATTGTTGGCCGGTTTCTGTAATGAACAGTGCTTCTTCACTTAAGCTACATTTTAGGACAGATTTAGCTTAAACACCCTGTGGGAAATAAGGCGTTGGATGTTGTTTTTCAAGGGATCACATATACATTAATAAAAGAACATAACAGACCCTACATAAAAGAACCCTCCATTTACCATTAGTGAGCCACTACTGGCAGATAGAGATGATTAAACCACACACAAATACACAAGCCTACATTTAAAACAACAACTAAATGTTTCTTTAACATATTGACCGGTGTAATCTGTGTTTGATGTCAGGACATTTAAGTACTACTTGTGTGCATGTACCTATACAGTATCAGAGATTTAAAAAGATTTCCTAGCTTTAGGTATATTACACACAAGCTGCCAAATCTCAGCCACAGGGCGTTAACATACAATAATGAGTCTGTGTATTTATCATAATCCTTCCCCTCTTCTCTACATATCCTTCTCCTTCTTGTTCTCCCGGGTGCTGCTCTTCAAAAAGTCGCTCCTGAGTAGCCGACAGAACAGCACGATATTCATGACCGTCATGACGGCCATGCCGACGCTGCCCAGAGTGTAGGCCATGAGCGGCACGTTGTCCCTGTTGAGCACCAGCCAGCGGGTCATCCAGGCCAGCGTGTTGATGCGGAACACCACGTACGTGCCCAGGTTGATGATGCTGTTGACACGGTACAGCGTGCTCGTGGCGTTGCCGGCCATACGCAGCATTTGCCTGAGGTGGAGGAACACAGAGTTTATCTCCACCATCAGGGCCACCACGGAGAAGCCCACGTAGCGGCAGGTGAGCACGGAGAAGCCGAAACAGGTGATCACCTGCAGAGGAAGAACAGAGGAAGAAGAGGAAGAGGAAGGTTAATATTAGTTTGGCAGAGCATACAACCAAAAGTGCATACATTTCTATGTGTATAATGCATTATAATATTTTGATAGCACTGTCAAAATATAGTCTTGATTAAAAAAAGTGTAAATGATAAATATTCATAACTCTTTATAACAATATAAGAAGGATTTTATAATACAGATATGTTTTTATGTAATTGTGATACTTGACAAAAAAGTAATAAAATGCTTTATAACCAGTCATGATAATTGTAATAAAACATAATGACGGAGTGACCTTCTGCACTTATCTAAAAGCTAGTGATATAAGAAGATCATAATGCATTATGCATGCAAGTACTTTTATGATGGCAAAAAAAGATGCGGGTATGCTACTATTTGGAGTTTTGAAGCTGACAAATTTAACTTGAATTTTCTAACCTGATTATACTACAATACCAATATGCATTTTTCTTAACAGAGATCAGTTTGACAAGTGGATCAAATGAAAAATAATCAAATATAATAATATAATACCCTTAAATGAAGGGAATTGTTTTAAGTTTAGATGAAATTGTGACTTTAGAAGGGGTAATTATTAATCACCGTCACATAAAATGTAAATAATTTCCATATTTTAATCATTGTGCTTTATTTCACCTAAGACAGTATTTTACGTAAGGACCTTGTGGAAGGACACCGCTCACATAACACATTTCTGCTGAGCAATGCTTATGAAAGTTTATCCAGAGACTAACATACAAATCTCCACAAGATGGCAGAGACATCCCTCAAACACAGTCTGACAAAGAGGCAACTCCACCACTACTGCCTGCTGACATTACACTGAGGGATCACAGGCGTATGATGTGGGGTGGTGACAGAAGTGAAAGCTGCCGTCTAACACTCACACTGCAGCTGTTTGCAGGCCTTAAATGTGTCTGACAGAAATGTGTTCACACAAAAACAGCCTTTGCAGCCAACTCTTCACAGGAGCCGGGACCAACTCTGCACAAGACATTCAGCAACTTCATTCACACTCAGAGCACACTCGCAGTGAAGCGGGGGACACACACTGTTCGCCCATGTACTTCTGCTACCTCCTTACAGGACGGCAACTGAAGATTGTTTTTTAAATGTCATTGGAATTCATTTCTAGATAAATTGATAAATTGTTTAGGTAAAAAAAGAGAACAAAAACTCAAAGTAAAGTCAAAAGTATCCAGGGTAATGTCTTTAAATGTATTTTGTTTCAAAGACTCAAAGGCTTTACCATTAGATGCACAACAGCTACAGTGTAGTGTTGGCAGTATACATCTTAGTTCCCTCCAACAATGCAACAAACAATACTTAAGACATAAAAGGAGATACCCAAATACAATTGTGCAAGACAAAAAGGGTTGCAAGTAAGTAGCAGGAATGTGTTGACCGCAAGTTGAAATTATTGCTTTGATTAATATAACAATGTACATGTCCAAGGAGAATAAGTTGATCATCCCAGTTTTCATTTAACCACATTATTTTGTAACAGAGTTTTTGACCTCAGCAAGTACTTTTTTGTAGCGTGTCACACAATATCAAACAGGCCCGGCCTCAGCCTCTCAGCGACTTTGTTTGTTTCCTGCTGTCGCTATATATAATGTATTATTTTTAATAACAACATATATATATATATATTATATATATATTATATATATATACACCTCCGTAAGAGCCCTGAGTTAAAGGTTAATATCTGATGTCTTATTTAAATACAACATATAAACAGTATATGCCTGTCAGAGCCTTGACTTATAACATATGCTGATAATAAACAAATACAGGAATATTTGTTTGATGTTAAATTAGAGATAAACGGTCGTTCATCTATCCTCTTCTAACATTTTAAGTAAATATATTGTTATATATTTATATGTGTATTTCAGAGCTGGTGCTGAGTGCGGAGGAGCTGAAGAGTCTGCATGAGTTTGAGGAGCAATGTGTGGAGGAGTACTTCAGAGAGAAGGAGGACGAGAAACAGTCGTCCAACAACGAGAGGATCAGAGTCACCTCAGAGAGGTACCCCACCATATATATATTTTAGGGCTGTCAGTCGATTAAAATATTTAATAGCGATTAATCGCATGATTGTCCATAGTTAATCGCGATTAATTGCAAATTAATCGCACATTTTTTATCTGTTCTAAATGTACATTAGAGGAATATTTTTCAAGCTTTTAATACTCTTATCATCATATGAGTTGAAAAATATGCTTTATGCAATGTTTATTATCATTTGACAAATGACAAATAATTATCATGGATAATTAAACACAACAACCTCTGAACATTACAAGTGTGCTGTGTGTGTGTGTGTGTGTGGTGTGGGTGGATCGTTGACTATGTGCAACTCAAGGCATATGCGTCGAACGGGGAGGCTGCCTGGCGCTGCGCGAATCATGTGGGCGCGGCAACTATCCTGCTGAGTGTGTGACTTTTCCCCACATGTGTCCGCACTGTCTGGCTATCGGCATTAAGTCAAGTCGCTTGGCGCAGTTGTCGGCAGAAATGTCGCTCTCTGTTTCATGTAAACAGCCCTATATCCGTTATCGCAGCTAGTAGCACCAGATGCTAACTTACACAACAACAACAGATACATGTAAGTTCTCTCTCCGCTCGCTCGCCGCCACACATACCACAACCCTCCGGTCCTCCGCTTGGCCAGTCGGTGCCCGGCCGTGAGCGTGGAAGGTGTGGTCTGCCGCAAGCGGGTGGCAGGAGCGGGGCTGTCAGCATCAGCTTGTAGGATGGTATTTTAAACTCGATGCGCTCTGAAACTACGGGGCGGCGGAAGGACAAAAGAATGACACATGCGTTAAATAAATAGTGGCTTTAATGTTTTTTTTGTGTTACCGCGTATATTAATGCGTAAAAAATATATTAGGGCTGATAACGTTAACGCGTTATTAACGCGATTAACTTATCCAGCCTAATATATTATATATATAAATGTTTATTCATTTGGATATAAACCCATTGAGATGCACCATTCGTTTTCAAGGCGGTCCCCGACAAGTAGCAACAACTTACAGACAAACATAAACAAAAAGACAAATGCAAAACCATGACACACAATGACAAACACATACGTCTGTTACAGTGATAATTCAAGCAATGCACACCAATCATTTACCATTTGAGACAGTTGAGAAAATCAGTTTTCATCAAATACCAGTTGGTGCATGTCTTCGGCCCTTATCAACTCTTATGTCCCTGCTGTTATCTGTGATTGCTACTAAGCTAGGTTAGAGCTACATGTAATTCTGTTCGCTCTGTACCATGTGCATATGCTGAAACTGGCTAAGGTGCTCCTCTCTCCTATCGACAACTGTAACCTCGCATTGGATGGCAAGCAGATACATAATAGAGCGGGACGCTACAAGGTTACTTGCGATCGGTCTCCTTCAAATAGAGATTTTCGTTCGGTTTCATTCACCTACGTGTAGCTTCATGGCTCTCTGTAGGCGTTCATGCACCTCGAACGTCTCTGTTCTTGTAGTCTGAAGTGTATACTTGTAATGTTGTCTCGTCGTCTCTCGCGGAAGGCGGGTGGATCGAGACAAACTTGTATCAAGAGACTCCGCAACTTTTGAATGATAAAATTGATCGCATAAACTCTGAAACAGATTAATGTAGTATTATATATAATATATATAGGCTTAACACAAAAAAAATTAAAGCACTTAATTATTTTAACGCATGTGTATTATTTGTCTTCGGATACTACACCCGTCCACCGCTTTAGTATACTTAGTTTTCATAGTAACGACGCAATCCGAGTCTTAAATCATCGCTCGATGTGCTACAAGCTCGGAAGTGGTAGGGCAGCCGACACGCCTACACTGTCGCTCCAACTGCGCTTCGCGGCAGACCCACTTCCACGTCACGGCGGGCACCGACTG